TATCAAGAAATGTGTTGCTAAAAATTATGGTGAATAAGAAATACTGCAATACTATTTTTAAAGGACACCAGGGAAATAAAAACTTGAATAAAATGTATAAAAACTAATATTAATAATTTTTAAAAGCTTTATCAAATGAGATTGACATGTACTGAATAGAGTTCAGAGTTAAGCCAAGAAACAGAAAAAGTTGAAAAAATAGAAGACTAACTATACAATGCTACATAGAAACCAATTGTTTCAATGGTCTATAAATAAAAATGAATTAAACTTTCAGATGATTAAAACCAGCTTATAATACTTTAAAATAATACCAATGAGTAAGTAAGTAAGTAACTAACTAACTAACTAAATAAATAAATAAATAAGTAACTTGGAGATCCAAGTTAGAGGGCAGCCTCTTCTTAAACAGCAAGTTCCAAGGCAACCAGGGCAACACAAAGTAACTCTGTTTCAAAAAACAAAACAAACAACAAAAAGTTAATTTAAACTCCTATGTAAGTTGAAAATTTAAAAAAAAAATCTGTCAAGAAATCGTATAAAATAGAATTCAAATGAAGTAAGACTATAGGAAACAAACAGGGCACTTGAGTCTTACTTATACCAGAAAACAATCAATAATCATCCAATAGAAACTCTAAGGTATGTTTTAAAATAAAATAAAAGAGCAAAATGATAAACTTCTCAAGCTCTATTTTAGCAATTTTCAAAGAACAGGAAGCCAAAAATCCTAATAAAGACTTCAAAGATTTGAAGCTCATTCTGAAATGACACTTAGCGTCTCTACATGAAAGAGCTGCATGGTGCTCTCTGCTCAGCACCGTACACTCAGATACATAAATTTTAAAAGCCTTAAAAAATTAAAAAATGTTATTAAATTTTAAAATCTTAGAAGTTAAAACCCCCTTATCTCTGATTTTTTTATATCAATGACCTAGCAGCTGCAGGAATATAGACCTAGAGAGCAAGAAAAACTGTATTTCAAAGAAATAGCAATAAAAAACACAACAAAGTCAAAAGAGGTCTGAGAGTGTGAGATTAAGTAAAATGGGAAAAGTTGTTTAGCAGAATCATATTTAATTCTCAAACACACCTTTCTTGATCCTTAGAAAATAACAAGGAAATTGCTATTTAACAGTAGTGATGAGGTGAATTTCTAGAAAATGCTTGGCATCAGAATATGACAATGTCTTAACTACTAACAATGTAAGACTGCACATTTAGGGATTTTTAAAGGAAAGAAATTGGAATTAACTTTCTGTGCTGTTCCCTCATACAGAAGTCATTAACCTTAGGAGCTGGAGAGAAAGCTCAGTGATTAAGAGAGTGTACTGCTCTTAAAGAGATTGAGACTTAGGTTTCAATCACCCAGGATGGGCAGCTCAAAACCACTTGTAATTGTAGCTCCAGGAAATTGTATTATCTGTGGTCTTCAGAAACACTTGCACTCACATACCCATAGTCTCTCTTTCTCTCTGTCTCTGTGTCTCTCTCTCACACACATATACATACACACATATGTACTCACAAATAAAAATAAAATAAATATTTAAATGTCATCAATATTTGCTAGTGTATTTATTTTGCAGAAAGGTATAAAAGGTTGAATTAGAACTACTCTATTAATGGAAAAATCTTAGTAATTGGATTTACTCCCTTAAAGACAAAATTAACAAGAGGGCCCTTTAATTCTATAGTATATCATTATATCTAAAGAAATAGAATAATGCAACCCAAGAAAAAAAAATGTTACCTACACTGTCACATAGTATTTGTGTATCTATTATGTAACATACACTCACACATTATATATATTTTCCTTGTTGGTACCACACTGGTTTCAGACTACAAAGACTAGTTTTACATTACAGAACAACTTTGTAGTCCTTTTATATGGCCCCAAACCAAAATTGGATTCAAAAGTAGAAATGGATAGTTTGAATTCAAAATTGTAGTACTGAGAATAAGGTCTGAATGTTCTTTTAGCTAAAGTAGTAAGTAATCTTACTACTGAAACATATTTAAAACAAAGTTTAGGGATCTTTATCCCTGTGTTCAGCATATGAACATACACATGTGCACATAATATATATGAGCATGGTTCTGAAGTGAAGCAGCCAAGATTTCTAACGATGAATTAAAAACATAATGTGTTCTTTCTCACATTAATCTCTTTCTACAGAAAGAATGTTTCTTGGTAAATATTAATAATGTAGCACGGGCTAACACTGTATGCCACATTTTAAAAGACAAATGCTACCTGGAAAATGCAAGTAATGCATTTGAGCATTATGCATTTATAGTTTCAAATTAATTCTTATTCTCATATTTCATGAGTCAAACAGGTATAGAGAGTAACAACTATAGCTTAAGATTTTTATGTCCCACCTGGCCCTTGGTCAGCACAAATATCTCTCACCTGCCAGTCCTGCAGCCACTTGGACCCAAGTAAACACACAAAGGCTCAGATAAATTAAAACTGTTCGGCCATTAGCTCAGGCCTATAGTTGACTAGCTTACATTTAAACTCAGCCCATATTTGTTAATCCATATGTTGCCACATGTTCTGTGGCTTTACCTGTGTGCCTATTACATGCTGCTCCCTGGACAGCAGGCAGGCGTCTTTTGACTCAGCCTTACTGTCCCCAGAATTCTCTTCTCTGCTTGTTCTGCTTATACTTCCTGCCTGGCTACGGGCCAATCAGCATTTTATTGATTAACCAATATGCCCAAATTCCCAAATATATCACACTGGCTTTGGAGATGGAATTGGCTCACTCCTTCTCCTTTGCTAAAAAAAAAAAAAAGTTTGAGAGATCCTTCTGTTTGTAATTAATATAATCCTCTATGTGTTCATTTGAATCTGACTGGCTGCAGGCCTGGGCGGGACTAAAGAAAACTTCAGCTATAAACAACTCATGATATATTGATTTATATAGTTTGATTGATCAGTGACATGAATAAAAAAGACTTTGCCATGTTTCAATATTGTTTTTCTTTAACCTTTAATTAAAATATGAATTATTCTGTCCTTTTAAATTGGTCTAATATCATTTTCAAAATGATAGTAGAACCTATTGTGGTTTAATTTTTAGAGTATTATAGTAAAAATCAACACTAAGTTTCATAGGCACTACAAAAGCAAAGTATCACTAAGCCATATCCCCTACCCAAGAGAACCTTTCCATGGTAGTATATCACACATTGATTCTTGGAGACATGGAAGGCACTATATTGGGCTACTTATATTTCTAAAAGTTAAGGGACTGTAGGGCAAAGTCACCCAGATCATTGCACCATGGGGCACAATCACAGCCATACAGTTCTGTACATAAAAGTGTATTGATATATTTTTTTCTCAGTAAACTAAGTTCTCTAAACTCCCTTTGAGGTGAATAACTTGACCAATTTTTCTGGCCTACGAGGCACAGTAGTATAAGGCCTACTGGGCATTAATCCCTAAGAGAATGAGAGTGGTTGCATAGGGGCTTGGACCATGGGAGGGACCCTGATAAGAAAATTAAATGTGGTGGGCAACGGTGGCACACGCCTTTAATCTCAGCACTCAGGAGGCAGTGCCAGGCAGATCTTTGTGAGTTCGAGACCAGCCTGGGCTACAGAGTGACAGGTGCAAAGCTACACAGAGAAACCCTGTCTCTAAGAAAACAAACAAAAAAATTACATGAGAGAGTCAATTTAAATACCTTTTCAATGGCAAGTGAACTTCAAAAGTTGGTCAAAACAGCAATAAAATTATTAATCAATCCAACTATACCAGAATCATTTTCTTCATGTTTTGCTATAAGTTTTAAACTCTTTTAATCCTTGAGTGACCTGAATTTAATAAATGATCAATAGTGGAAAACTTTTTTTCTATACCAGGAAAGAAACATTTTCTAATGAAGGCTGAGAAAATAGTTCATTTTGTAAAGAACTTTTTTTGTAAGCAACAAGAAACTGAGTTTCATCTCCAGAGCCCACATTAAAAATGCCAAGTATGGTAGCTCACATTTGCAATACCAGTATTGAGGAGGGAAAGAGGTAGGAACTGGTAAGTTCTGGAACTTATTTGCCAACTTGCCAAGTCTACTTGAAGACTCCTAAGCAAGTGAGAGACACTGCCTCAAAATTCAAAGGTGGATAGTGTCTAAAAAATAACAACCAAGATTGTCCTCTCAGTGTCTGCATGTGTGCAAGCACCAGAATGCACCCTTCACACACACACACACACACACACACACACACACACACACACACACATTATTTATAATGATAATGGAAAGAAATGAACAATTAGGAATAAATAAGGGATCCTCTGAAACCAGCAATTATCACATTCCCTTATATAAGGGATTACCTAGAAAAAAATTTAGACTAACAGCTTCTTCATGAAGTTCTAAACTGTGTTCAAAATGTGAGTGACACATCTCTTATGCCAACAAAATCCTATATTTATAAGACAAAGAAGGTAGGTACAGAAATTAAGATGTTAGGCAGATTGATGTCATAGTTTATCAGTAAGATGTATGTAGGACTGTAATGATTGGAATTATTATAACAGACAAGGAGGTGCAGTTGTGATTATGTCAACTGGAGACTAAGAACGGAGTTCATGTTGAAAGGATGGAATAGTAGAAAGCTGTAGGGAATGGTTTTCTTTCTAGGAAGCTCTCACAAAGTCTGTAGGTAGTAATTTTTCTTATTTGTTGTTTTAGAACTCTTTGGGGTTTCATTCAGCAGTTCTCTGGGTCTGAAAAAGGTTTTAGTGCCTCTTGGTGTTGAAGGATGATGCACACTAGCACCGCAACATGAAGTGGGCAAGAGGAACTTGATCTTGGACTTGTGGAACTACTTGATGGACAGAAGGCAGCACTTACATGATGCAGTCTCTTCCACAATCAAGGTCTGGATGGAATGAGCACTAGCATGGTGCTAGGCAGCCATATCTAGGTTTGTAGAAGGAGGAAGAAGTAATCCCCAGCCACCCAGGGCACTCTCAAGGCTGTAGACTCTCCCAATTCACTCTGGGGGCACTGCACAGTGCCCTCCAAGAGACTAGAAGCCCCTTTGCTTTGTGCACCACTGTTTAAACAACCACTATAGACAGAGGCAGTTCACGGGTTAGGTGGGAGCTAGTAATTTTCATTAACTTTTTTTTTTCAGTCAGTAATTTTTCCTTATATTTTTTTTCAGGTACAGAGTAGAGAATTTATATAATTTAGCAAAGAGCAAGTATCCTAAGGTCGTAGGCTAATCAGTGAATGAGCTCTATTGTATGCACCCAAGTGCCAAAGTCAGAGGCAAAGCAAAAGTAGAATACTGTACACAAGTGGCCTTCTGTGTAACTGTGGTATTCACAGTGTCTGGAGAGACTCTGACATAAACCTAAGAGGTTTCTGGCTCAGGAGCAACATCATCTCCAGTAGTGAATTCCTAGACCAAACAGAATTATTCAGGGACATTGGAATGGATTATCCTTCATAAATTAATACCTAGATTAGTTGTTGCAAATCATTATTTATAAATCCTTATTTAAGTATAATGAGTTTGAACTATTTGTAGAAGTTGAACACAGTTCTAAGCCAGGGAGTTTGATATGAAGATATCTCTTATGTCAGGCTTTTCTATTTATTTTTATTTGTTTGTCATTTTGATGATTATTTAGCCCATTGTTTCTTTCCTTATGTATGTGCTGTGAAATGTCATTCTGCATGCTGTGAATGTGTGTTGCTCTGATTGGTTGATGAATAAAAATGCTGATTGGCTAGTAGCCAGGCACGAAGTATAGGTGGGAAGAGCAGACAAAGAGAATTCTGGGAAGAGGAAGGCTAAGTCAGGATTCACCAGCCAGACACAGAGGAAGCAAGACGACAAGGCAGAGCAGAGAAAAGGTACCAAGCCACATGGCTAAACATAAATAAGAACTATGGGTTAATTTAAGTGTAAGAGCTAGTCAGTAATAAGCCTGAACTAATGGCCAAGTACTTATAATTAATATAAGCCTCTGTGTGTTTACTTGGGGGATGCAAGTGGGAGAGATTTGTCCCAACAGCTGGCTGGGACACAGGAGAACTTCCAACTACATGTATGTGAATATAAACAGCTATCAAAAGTGGTATTAGTATCTGTACTAATGTGTGTGTGTGTGTGTGTGTGTATGTATGTATGTGTGTGTGTGTGTGTGCTTAACCCAACTAAATTGACCAATATAATTAAAGAATCAATTAGATATGCTATATGAAAGCCTTCTCATTGCCCTGAACTCTGTCCAAAGAAATGATGAGAGCATTTCCTGTTGTAAATAAGTTCAGCTTCCAGAAGGTGCTGTGAGCAATGTTTTCAGTTAGTTGTTTGCCAATTAGAATATCTAGAATTTGTTTTAGTACCCTATTATTACCTTGTAGCCAGACTCTCCATATAGTTGTATGTTTGATAAGCAAGCCACAGATGGTGTTGGGCTACTGGAACTCTGATCCCAGCATTCACTTAATCGAGTGAATCAGAGCCTTACTTTGGAGGTTTGGAACTATGATTAACAAAGTGATATAAACACTTGGAGCTACAGTGAACAGAAGAGTGTGCACCATCGCATGAGATATTTTCTTTGTCTATTGATTTTCCTCAAGCACACGGTATTACTAAAGAGAGATTATCTGCTTTCACAGCTTTGGGATTGTGGTATTGATTCCATTAGTATATCCAAATGTTTGCCTTACTTACAAAGTGGAGTATTCTGTAACCTGTTTTGATCTATATGAGGAAAACTTTCTGAATTACTAACTAGGGAATAAAAGAGAGAGGGAGGAAGAGAGAGAACTTAGATAATGAGCTAAAGGATAATTTGGGGGGGCATAGCATTTAAAAATCAAAATAAGTTTTATATCAATAGAGTGGATAGTCTTGTAAGAATTCTCTGGGTTTAATAAATTAATAAATATATTAGGCATCAGTATAGGACATAGGTTGAGAAGAAGTAATAATTGGAGTGGTGGTAGAGAGATGACCCAGTAGTTAAGAGTGTTTATTTATTTTGTAATGCACTTGGGTTCAGTTCCCAGCACCCACATCGTGGTTCACAATAATCCATGATCTGATGACTTCTTTTGACCTCCACAGACACATATGTGCATGCAGTTAAAATGTTCACACACATGAAATAAAATAAATAAATCTAAGAAAAACTTAAAAAAATAAAATTTACAGTGGTGGCATTAATATAATTAAAGGACATTGGATATACATAACATTAATCACTGTATTTGTAGGTAAAATACATCTTTTTTACATATGTACAGTGACATTAGTAAACTACTTTTAGATTTAATCTGGGTTGTTAGTCATACATGGATTCTAGAGTAGAGAAATTAATCCCTGGGCCAAAATAAATTAATACACAGAGACATTTGTCATTTGTTACTCAAAAGGATTTGAGGAATTCTTCAAACTTTCAATAATGCCTGGTTGCCAAGAACTTATTTAAAGTGTTGGAGATAGTATTTTTAATCAATACTTTTATTAAGAACTTAGTATTTGTGATAAATGGAATGCTTGTACGAATTTCTGCCATTAATGTTTGTAACTCCAAAGAGAACAAGAAATGTCTTGGTAGTATTTAGATATGTAAGGGTGACTTCTACTTATATAATAAGCACAAATGGCAAGAGTTTCTTAGAATAAATTTTATTTTGAAATAATAAACTATTAGGCAATGGTCCAAGAGCTTGTCAAATGTGAATTGTCTATCTTTGAAATTCACATAATATAATGCTAAATTAACTGCCTGACACTTGGACAAAATTTGATGACCCATCACTTCTTTTCTTTATTTAGAGCATCTTAGCCCAGAAATGGAATGTTGAAGTCTTCTACCACTGAACTGCATTGTTTATCATAGCGTATGTGTCTGTAACAGAGTCAACAGCTTTCCTTGCCATTTATCTAGTTAATCATAGAGTCCATCAGGTATCTAAGGATATGTGATCTGCCATCTGTCAGGAGACTAAGAACAAGTAAGGCTGTATCCTCCTATGGGTAGGATATATTAGAATATCTGTATTGCCCTACATCTGATATCAAGAAAACCCAACTCGATCTGTTGAGTTTCCAACTAGGTGATAATTAACTCATGGTGCCAAGGTTATTTGGAAATGAAGAGTTACACGTTTAGAATTGGTCAGAATCTCTGTGTTTTGAGATTTTAGTTCATGATTGGCCTTTTTCTCCAATATGAAAAAAAAGGAGAGTTTGTTAAGTCAAAAGTACACTGAGCACTCATCAGCCCACTATTTAAGAGATCAATGAAAGTATGAGATGACATTAAACCCTCCCTGGCAAGTTGATCTCTAAAGATAAGACAGAAATTCCTGACTTAAGCAGGTTTAGTCTTTTTATATATCTTTTTCTAGTTAATAAGAATAAAATATATTTATTTTCATTTTTTATTTATTTTATTGAAAATAGACTCTTCTACAATACGTCCCAAACAGAGTTTCTTCTCCTTTCATTCCTCCCAGCTGTCCCCACTTGTCCTCTCCCCAAGATCCATGCCCCCTCTGTTTCTCTTCAGAAAAGATCATGCCTCCAAGAGATGACAGCCAAACAGGACAAAACAAGATACAATAAAACAAGGCAAAAGCCCTCATATCAAGGCTTGAAAAGGCAACCCAATAGAAGAAAAAGTCCCGGAGCAGTAAAATGAGTCAGAGGTACATCTGCTCCCACTGTTAGGAGTCCCACAAAAACACCAAGCTAGTATCCATAACATATATGCAGAGGACTTGGTAGAGACCCATGCTGGCCTGGAGCTTGTTACTCCAGTCTCTGTAAGCCCATGTGAGCCCTGCTTAGTTGATTCTTGGGCCATGTTCTCCTGGTGTCCTCCATTCCCTATGACTCAAAGAATCTTTCCTCCCATTCTCCTGCAGGGTTCCCAAAGGAAAGGGACCCATTGGAAATCTCCACATAACATGTGCTATGGGTCTTTGCCACCAATCCCTTCTACTGCCAGAGGAAGCCTCTCTTTGATAATGACTGCACAAAGCATAGGTCTATGAGTACTGATTTCTTTTTTTTTTTCTTCTTCTTCTTCTGGTTCTCCTCCTCCTCCTTTTTTTGCCAGTCATGTTTTGTTCTACCCTAGGTTCTTGGGCTATCCAATCTCCAGTCCCTGGCCACTCTGGCAGTGGAGGATATAGGATCCTTCTCCTAGCATGGACCTCAAATTAAACCAAAGGTTGGTTTGCCACTCCCACAAGTTCTGTGACACCATTGTTCAAGCACGTCTTGAATGCAAGACAGATTGTAGATCAAGGGCTTTGTGGCTGTGGTGGTGTAAAGATTTCTCTTCCCAGAGCCTGCAGAGTACCTTCTTGTAACAAAGAGAATAGAACACAGAGGTGAAGGCTCCATGCAAGCACCAGCTTGACCTCTCTGCATTCAATGACCTGTACAAATGCTGTCCTTGGCGATGGAGACTTGTGTTCAATTTTCAGAGAGTAATGTTCTGTCCTAGCATCAGCCTAGGTTGTTTAGGGATCTCCACGGGACATCCTTGGCCAAAAATTCAACAAACTGTAACCCGTTCCCACCACTGTAAGCCTTAAACTGATAATCAAAGATGACTAGTTCAGACTCCATATCTGCCATTACTGGGAGTGCTTACTAGGGTCACTCCCATTGGATTCAGTAAATTTCTCCCCTTTTATTTTCTTCCTTCAAAACTCTCATTTAACTCCTACATTGCTCTTTTGCAAATTCATGGCCTTTTTTTCTTTACTTTTTGCTACACATAAATATGTGTATTTCTAAAACATAAATATGTCCTGCTCAGTCTCTATAATGTTACTTGTATATATATTTCCAGGTCTGACCATCTATTTTGGATTACCAATCATATGTTCTTCACTGGGGAAGACTGTTTCTCCTGCATTCACATATCTTCTTTGCTCATAGTTTTCTTTTTTAGAGAATAAATTAGTCTAAAGAGAAAACAAAGTCCTTTTAAAATGTTATAAAACATAGCAATTGGATAGGTTCAAGGACACAATCAGTACTAAAAGATGCTGGTTTTGTATGTCTTTCTTGAGTCTGTTAAAAAGGCATCTACAGGGTCATGCCATGCATTGAACCTGGA